AACTGGCTAGGGGAGTTATAGTAGGGAGGTAGGGAGGTAGGGAGGTAGGCAGATAGGTCAGTGGACATGTGTGTAATATATGTAATGTATGTAAACAGATCGATCGATAGATAGATACATTGTAGATTGATAGATTGATAGATACCTAGATATAGATAGAAAGGTACAAGTGTATGTATATATATGTGTGTGTATATATGTATATAGGTCGATACCTAGGTATAATAATTAATCCCTCTCCCTCTCCCTCTCCCTCTCCCTCTCCCTCTCTGCAAATTTATAATAAAGGTTCGAAATAATAAAAGAGGCAAAAGAATTCCTCTCGTCTCTCTAATTTATTATATGAATTCTTCACGACCTACCTAATTATCCTTCTATCATTATTATTATTATTAATTGTTTCCGAGCAAGGCTGTGTGTGCTTTCTTGCTTTAACTTGTACTCAATCCGCAACCATCGAAATCGCAAGTATTATTATATCATACATAGGGTGGTAGTACCCAGTTACAACCACTTCAATTACAACTTTGGTTACAACTTTAATCACAACTACAATCACAACTACAACTTCTCCACCTCCTGCTACCGCATCTAACTTATCCTCCTCCTCCTCCTCCTCCTCCTTACCTCTTCGTACCAACCGACATTCAAAACACCACAGCCCTTTTCTCAAAAAGGAATCCGGATACTTATACGACCGGGTACCGATACAACATATACTAGTCTTGATATCTCCTAGACTCTAGTACTATATTACCAAGTTGAGAACATCCGCTATCAATCCGGGAAACTCACACAAGCTTTTTTGGTGTGTGGCAGAGAGATCAAAGGGAAAAGTCAAATAATTTCAATTTCCATCTCCATCTCCATCTCCATCTCCATTCCATTTCTTATAATTGGGAAATTCCGACTTGACTTCATCCGCCTCAGTATCACTCACTCACTTTCTTCCAACTTCATTTGGTATTCGCCTTCCAAAGAGAACTTATCAAAGAAGTTTCAACCATCCTTCCGATTTCTTCCCTAGACAACCAGGCAATCAACATAAGAAAGGCCAACTATATTCACTTCCATAATTGATACGCCGCTTCATTTCGATTTATAATTAATAAAAAAAACCGGAATTCCCACTGTTCAATCTTATTCCGCATACGTCCCACACCCACACAACCCACACGCCCACAGAATAAAAACACAAATTTCCAACAAAGCACGGGCATTGCCCGCGACCTCCGCCTTTGGCGGATATCTTTTTACTGATTGCAACCGATACGAAAGCGCATCTCAAATTCTTTAAGAAAGCAAAATCATCATGGCGTCGGTCGCAGTCCCAAGAGATTTTGCTGAGAAGGCACAACCCTCTCCTACGCCTTCTTTACCTTCGTCCTCGCATGGATCTCCTCAATCTCGTCCTACAACCTCCAATGTGAGCGCCATCACAAGCACCGAAAATCTAAGCATGAATGGAACTATGAATGGAACAATTACACCTCCTCCTCCTGCGGTTCTCAAGGCAGCACCTATGCCAACGACTGCCGAGAAACCTTCCATGACCAAACGTTTAACTCGAATGTTTTCTACAAAGGAATCGATACGGTCAGAACATAACTTTACATCTAGTGCTGCCTCTGGTTCCTCGACGCCAAAGGTTGTGGATGGCACAACATCTCCTAAATCATCCTCGAGACCTGGATCTCTGTCCCGAAAGACTTCATCACAAGAAAAGAAGAGTCCATCCGACAAATCGAGTGTTACACCGAGTACAAAGGACAAGAATGGTTCAACAAAAGACAAAAAGGCACCGGCAAACCATCAGCGATTTCTTACTATGCCTGATGTGCAAGGGGGCCACGAGCATCATCTGAAGAGTGCCAAGAGACAAGAAAAACTGGGGGAAATGCTGCGAGGCTTAATTAGTGGGAAGGCGAAACAATCCGAAACCCACGAAGGCGAACAACAACTTTCACTCATGTCAAACTGGGTGGATCAACTGAAGCGTGAGAAGGAATCACTAGCTACAGAAAAGAAGGGTGGGCCCAATGCGACGGCAACATTGGTAGATAAATACGGGAAATGTAATGAGGTTATTGGTCGGGGTGCTTTCGGAATTGTCAGGATATCCCACAAGAGGTCCGAACAGGGAACCGAGCAACTTTACGCCGTGAAGGAATTCCGAAGAAGACCCGAAGAGAACGAGAGGAAATACAGCAAGAGACTTACCTCCGAATTCTGTATATCTTCCTCATTACGACACCCTAACGTCATCCATACCCTTGACCTCCTTCAAGATTCGAAGGGGGACTATTGTGAGGTCATGGAATTCTGTGCAGGTGGTGATCTTTACACCTTGGTACTCGCCGCCGGAAAGCTTGAAGTTGTGGAAGCGGACTGTTACTTCAAACAGATGATGCGTGGCGTTGAATACATGCACGAGATGGGAGTTGCGCATCGAGATCTAAAACCAGAAAATCTTCTTTTGACCACACACGGTTCTTTGAAGATAACAGATTTTGGGAACGGCGAATGCTTTCGAATGGCTTGGGAGAAGGACGCACACATGGTGACTGGATTGTGTGGTTCCGCTCCTTACATCGCTCCAGAAGAGTACATTGACAAAGAATTCGACGCAAGAGCCGTTGACGTTTGGGCTACAGGTGTCATTTACATGGCAATGCGCACAGGACGTCACCTTTGGCGAGTCGCGAAGAGAGATGAAGATGAGTTCTATGAGAAGTATTTAGAAGGTCGAAGAGATGAGGAGGGATATGCTCCTATCGAGTCATTACATAGAGTATGTCTCCCTCCTACAATTCTTATGTCTGTATAAGCTAACATGAATAAAGGCACGTTGTCGTAATGTCATTTACTCGATACTGGATCCAAATCCTCACCGTCGTATCACTGCTTCACAAGTTCTCAAGTCCGAATGGGGTCGTGAGATAAAACTCTGTCAAGCAGGTGAGGAAGGACTCTGACATCATGTGCTGGATAGTGGGATTACATGCAGAAAAAGCATGTTCAAGAGCATGGTCGAACAGGCAAATCTTCAACGAGACCTCAAGCCATGTAGAATCGAACATAAATTCCGCTCGACCAGCAGCTTCAATTGTCAAGAATGTGGTTTCATTTGTTATTACGACCCTACTGGTATGGGAGCATATAAAGAATTGAAAGACGACACTGGTGTCTCTTCAACATGAGCATTGCGCGACGAGGGGTGGCATATTTCACATGAGCATTACATTACAGCAACAGTATGGCGTTTGGGGAGTCCTTTTTAATAAGCAGCACAGCAAATTTCCTTCTTTTTCACGACCCTGGTTGCTTTGCTTTTTTGAAGCCTTGATGCACACTTTTTACTCATTTTGAGCCATGGGTCTTTTTTTTTCTCTCGACTTCTTATGAATGGCGAATTGGGGGAGCAAACAACACAGAAAGGGATCTTCCTTTTATGAGTACCCATGATACAATCAAGACTATACATCATCTTACAGTCGTTATTTATCTTCTTCTTCTTCTTCTTTGACCCCTTTTTGGACAATTACAACCTTTTATTCTTAGAGAGAAAGAGAGAGCTATGGGCTGGGAGTACCTGCTTTTGGTTTGGCCTGGCTCTGGTTCATGAAAAGTCTTACTTTTAATGGATTGGAGATGGAGGTATGCATGAGTAAAAATAGCTTGCGATTCTTGACTGGCTTTTTGATACTTGTATGGTTGTGCGTGGCTTTGTTTGTTTTTTTGGTAGAGGGTGGGATGAATGGCTGGTTGAAAAGGAAGGTGGTACTTGTGTTTTGAAGGTTCGGAATGATGGAAGGGATTATGATTTGAGGGATACGTAGATGGGAAAGGGAAGGTGATAGGGGGAGATTGTAGATAAATGATGAGAATGCGGATCTGAAGATGGGCGAGGAAGGACTGGAGGGATGAATGGGATAGGTGGAACGGATTTTGTTTGTGTAGAAATTGGATTGAATCGAATGGAGAGGAAGATGGAGAGGAAGATGGAGAATGTGAATAGAGAGAATAAGAAAGAAGTAAAGAAAGATTAGATGATTTTATGCGTATCTTTTATTTATGTTTGTGCTCGTGATGTAATATGTAATGGATATACCCAAATCGAACCATGCAAGATGCCTAATAATAGGGAGCCCCCTATTAATATCGCGTATTTTCCCCTTGAACCCCTTTCTCCCCTCCATATATCCTTCTGTCTTTCCTTTGCTTCTCATTTCAATTCATTTCAATTCCCTCCCTTTCTCCAAGCGAGAGTGTATACTGAGGTGCTTGGATATAGTATAGTCAATCAATCAATCAACCAATCAATCATCGGTGAAGATTAAATAACATTTCCATTTCCATTCACTATTCCATTCACTATTCTATATGCACATCCAAGAAATACAAGCATTGTTTGTTTTTTTCATCACAAGTGACTGATTTTCTCATCTATAGTCTTTATATAGGTACTTGTAGTTCGTGTAGTTCTTGTGATGCTTATTATAATATTAATCTCACTCACCTCACTCACCTACCTCACCTACCTCACTTATGCACTCATTTCATTTATTTCATGTATGTATAAACAAAAGATAAAAGATAGAAGACAAACACACACACACACACACACACACACACATATATATATAAAAACCTTCTATTCCCTCTCATCACCTCTCATCCCATCCATTACCTAGCCCCTCAAATCCCAACCCCAATCCCAATTCAAATACACAGTCCTCTCAAAATTCACCAATTATTCAACTCACAACGTCCATGCCCTCTGATCTCTCATTTCCTTCTGAAAACCACAAATCTAATACTATTTTCCATTCTCTGTTTCGCCAGCAAGATACACGCACTGATCAATATACTAACTACATGGTACTGCAATACACTGCACTATACGGTACTATACTTTAATCACTCCTGCAAAAAGAAACCCATAAACAAGAAAAAAACACACAATTCAAGTATCACAAAGCGAAGAAGTAGAGATTATTAGAGAGTTCTTTCATTGAATTGAATATAGAACAGAATCCATTCCTTTTCTGAAGATATCTCCTCATATCCTTCTTTCCCTTCCCTTCCATTCCTATGCCCATTCCCCATTCCCCATCCACCTCCTCAACCTTCAAAGATTGCCGAAAAATCATGGAAAATCATTGTATGCCATTCCCTTCTCCCTAACCACCCATCCGTTCACCCACAAATGCCTCCATTTCACACCACCCCCATTCACCCTAGCGAATTAAATATAATTGTGTCCATTATAACCATGAATCAACGCATCAATCATATGAAGCAGTAAAAAGAAATCATTTGGTCGATCATAATGGCTCAAGAAAGTATACCGACAGGCACGTACAACATGCCCTGTCATCATAAAACGCAAAAAGAGTATTGCCTTTCCCAGAAGTAAAAGTGAAGCTCCAGTTATAGCATTATTTGTTTGATAGACAAAAGGAAAGAAGAAAAGGAGAGACATGAAAACAAACAGCTAAGAATGGAAAAGATCCCAAGCCCGATTACACAGGCGCATGAACTCTTCCTTCTTCTGTTGTGAAGTCATTGGACTATCTCGTCCCTCTCCAAATGGTCCAGTTCGTCTCGATGTAGGTGGACCTTGTCCAAGTGGCGGACTAGCTCCCTCTTCATACTCTGCTCTAGGTCTTCTTCTACCACTGCTTCGACCAGCTTCTGAAGGTCTCGCGTTGACGTTTGTAGGTGGAGGAGTGGGGGGCTGATGACCTCCGTAATGTACGAGCTTAGGTAGAAGTTCAGCACGACCACCAGCCAGATCAGCCTGTGCTTCCTCAGCAGAACGGTATTCACGAGGACGCTGATGGCCTGCAGACGCTGGTGGCTGTGATGTGTGTCCTGGGGATGGGAAGCCTGGTCTGGAGTTGGAATGCGATGAATTCGAATTCGAGTTCGAATTTTGGTATACGTTTCCTCTTGGCGATTCACGGTGTGCACCTAGATTTTCAGCTGCGAAAACATCTGAAATTGGTGGTAGTCTATTGGTAGTTTGGGTAGCAGGTACATGATGGATATGAGATGTGTTGGAGAGATTTGACGGCTGATTTGCGACGTGACGGGTTAGCGGTTGTGGTTGATGTCTGCCAGGAAAGCTATGGTGCATTGGAGCAGATTGAATTACTCTCTCATTCGCAAATTGCTCATGGGATGGTGCGACGATGCTTAGTCCTGGCGGCGCCTTTCTTCTAGATGTACCTGGAGTTTTTGCTGGTAATCCACTCAGCTCTCTTTCTTTAGCACTTTCCATTGGCGCATCACCAGGCTTAGCTGTTTGTTGTAGCCGCGATTCGATAATGTGTCTTTGTTGTTCACGGACAGATAAACTTCGCTGCAATTGTTCTCGCATCGTCGGATCTTGTGTGACGAAACCTGGCGAGAGACATGCCAATCCGACGTCCTGAATACCCAATCCACCACTCTCCGCACCCCTACCTGTCAATTGACTGGCTGATGGTCTTCCAGTACCTGGATTGACACTCGAGGTGTTTTTGGTGAGATCAAGCTTTCGAGGTCTATGACGCGAAGTGGCAGTTATTTCAGGTGAGGATGGTTCCTTCTTAACGATAATCTTAGGTGGTGCACCGTTTCGAGATCTGTTGAAATTATGACATCAGTATATCATTGATTTAATTATCGATAATTTAATTCAAGGAATAATACATACGCAGTAGGTGAAGGTTTTGCTGAAATTGATTTTGGACTTCCGCTCCCTGTACGCTGTGCCGCCATTGTTACACTCGGTGTGGCCGACGAAGAAGGTATTCTTTGCGCCGGAGGAGAATTCGAAGGTTTCGAAGATGCGATATCAACATATGATGATCTATCGTGAGGTACTGGTGAAGGGGCCATTGCAATAGCCGTACTCATTTTGATTGATGTATACAAATTGTATACAAATTGTATGATTGAGGAGGAGAAAAAAAAAGACGGTTCAATGTGGGAGATGGTGAAACTTGCTGATGTTTGAAAATGAGGGAGCTTTCTCGCTTCCTTGTCTCCAATCAATCCGCGTGTAAGCAGAAGTCTTGAATGACTCTGTACTCTTCGCAGTGTACAGAGTAAAGATTCAAGAATGAATGCACACTTTACTTGTTTATATGATGTGGTGCAGTCGTAAAGTGTCTTTCCCTTTTCCCTTTTCCCTTTTCCCTTTTCCCTTCCGATTCTTGTACTCTCCCTCTTTCCGTATCTTTCAAGATTCGGATTCGTGCGTCCGTCGGTCGACGTATTTCCACAGAGTCAGCGAGGAATTTGATTTATGATACTTCTCTCCGATGTACCAAAGTATCCAGTCGACAAACTACAGGATAAATAAAGAGTAAGGCGAGATGTTGTGTTTACTTAATGGTGAATGTTGAGAATGTTGAGCCGAATGGTGGTTTGACTCGAGTTTTGACCTTTTACCAAGTCCGTATGTAGTAAATGATGGATGAAAGGCAATGCGTATTTTCTAGGTATCCCTAGTACTATTCTTGCGGTGGCTTTGATAATAGTTATGCGTTTAAATAAGAAACAAGAGGATTTGAGGCTTAGATTCCGTTTTGTTTTCGAACGAATCAACTTGTAACCGACGGTACAAGACTGATATGCTATTTATTGCGAAGAGGATATTGATGGGGACTTTTCGTGTTGTAGTTGAGGGTGGGAATGTGAATGGGACGGAAGCTTATCAGATGATGGTTGATAGTGGTGATAGTGGTGATTGATTGATTGATTGATTGATAGCTGTACTCGTATTGGTGAGATGGAAAAAGGACTTTTGTAGTTGTTATAAATAAATCGATAACAAAAACTACACAGGACTCTGGGAAGTATCCTGATGTGGTAAAAAGGAAGAAGAGAAGAAGAAGGAGGAAGAGAAGAAGTAATAACAGATCCGATTAGAGAGGGGTTCACCTTCATAAAGAAACGAGAGGTCGCAGTCGCAGTCGCAGTCGCAGTCGCAACAGTCAGTTTGAGAAAGGTCAGAATCAGTCTTTATGGGTGGCGGTGAGGTTTTATGAATTTAATTGAAATCGAGGCTTTTGCCAGGCATTCGAGGTAATCGAGGCAATCGAGGTTTTTTAGGTGGGTGTGTTTCAGGTTATTTCGTATACAGGATAAGTAGGTCAGTTAAGAACTCTTGAGACTCTTAGCGGGATCCTTCCTATATGATTATTACTCCGTCGAGTATTATATTTTACATACCGTATACCAGGTATATCATCTGTAGTAAGAAGTACCGACTAGACTAAGACTTATATTGATATAATCTCATATCACTTATATCACTTGTATCAATCATATCACTTATATAACAATATTTCATTCTATATTATAAAAAAATAAAATAAACACTCTTTCCCTCTTCCCTCTCGCAAGTCTGTCTGCATGCACTTCTGCAATTAATCCGTTTAATTGGATTCGATCATGGAGGAGACGAAAAGAGTATTACCTCCACCCTCTTAAAGTGGTCAAGTAGGTCGATCACAAAAAAAGAAAAAGAAAGAGGTTCAAACACCGGGTGCTAGTGCTAAGCAATGAGTGATGGTGGGTGCACTGCTGCTCTAATACTACTTGGGTTAGAGAGCCGGGTGGGAATGGATTCATTGGCTATCAAGGCTGTTTATTCAAGGTTCTTCGGCTGTATGGCTGTTTGATTGTTTGACATGGCTGTTGGTAATGGATTCAATGGGTGCTCGATAATGCGTGCGTGATACGAGCGAGTTACATACCCATCGGAGGTGCTGGTTTAGATGGATATGGAAAAGGTTGACAGAAACAAGGGAGCTCGATATTCAAGACGAGATCTTGGACACAAGTACAGGAGATAGATGGATGGTAAACGTGTAGATGTCGATACCGGACATGAAGATTACTGCAAACCCTTTTCCCGGTACAATAGAGTAGCATTCCGTCAAGCAGTACAAAATATCACTGAAGGATCCCCGGTCAAGTGTCAATGCGTTACTTCCAACTCGTGTCGATTTTAATTATATACCCCGTAGTCCGACACTGGAAGTTTGGGCTTCTCACAAGGAAAAGGAGGGTAGGAGAGGGGTTGAAATCTTGATAGATGCATGGAGATGAAGGAAAAGCGTCGGATGAAATGGAGGGGAAATTATATGTTCCAGTCAAGTCACCAGTCTCACGTATTTTTGAATGCATCTGCTCCTTTCGTACATATTCGAAGACGTAAACATGGGAAACTAGGATACTCTGTTCATTTGGAGAGGAAGTGGACTGGAAGGTCAGTATGAAGGAATCTCCAAGGAATACAAAATTGGAGATGTATAAAGTTTTATTATGGAGGGAGGGATTGGGGATATGATGAAGATCCAAATTATATTTCTATTCAGCAACACAACATCCGACGCCTTTGTTTCTATGCTTGCCTTGGTTTGTTTGATCTGATATTTAAGGATTTTATTTAGGTTGAACATCAATGCTTGAGAGCGGGAGGTCATTGAGGTCATAACTTAGGATGGGATGAAGGATGGATTCGTATACATTACGATGTGCGATTGTCAATATATGAGTAACTAGGTGATATTGGGACATGTCAGATATAACGATGGCGATAACTCCCATGTTGCCATAGGAGATTTTCCTCCATAGTCAGTCATGCAATTTGCTATATCATTTACCCACGAAGTTCAATGTATTTTCAGCAAATGAAGCTCAAGAGAAGCTTGGACTTCATGAAAATCAACTATTGTTTTAGATTCAACTCAAGGCAGAGTGTGCGGTACCTAGTACCCGGCGGGAGTCGGATAAATAGGGAAGTTCTAGGAGAAAATAGTAGATTAGATCTGGCAGCTGGTGTCTGACTGGTGGATGTGGTTGGCCATCAAACATGAATCAAATCCCAAATGTCTTGGCTATCATTTTCTTTGCCAATGAATATAAGACATTCTTGATGTAAGAATTGCCGTTGGAAAGTTTCAGCTCAATCTTGAAGGCAGAAGGCAAAGTAGAAGAAACTGTGTTATTCTCGTCTTCGAAATCGCCCAAACCTCCCCAAAGATTTCTCATCGTTCAAAACTCCAGAGATCGTTTTCCATGCTTTTGGGTTTCAACCCTTGTAGACCTGATCTGCAGGATCTGTAAATTCAATATTTCATAGTGCCCTAGTGAAACCCCTTGCTAGTCCTGCATCAATTTTATCCAAATTGCACACCATTATCATTAGCTTATCGGTCGTCCCTTTCGTTTCAATGATAATTTTGTGAAATGAAGCATAGTCCTGATCTGGCCAATTTTTAATATATATCACACGAGTTTGAGATAATCGTTAGATCTTGCATGTGAATATTGCATGTAATGCCCCTCTCTATCACATTCATACGGATAATTGCATCAAAAGGTTCTGATTTGTAAGATGTTTTCGATGTTCAATATTTCTCGCTTGCGGCCCTGACGATCAATCGTGTGTTGTGAGGATAAGCATGGTCTGTGAACACAAACCCCTCTTCTTTCGGACAACACAATATATATGAATATTCTGATGGACGGTGAGCTTGAGCAATTGGAAGGTCATTCCAAGTTGGGATACAGTGGTGACAATTGTTTAAATTTCGGCTGCCCGCTCTTAGTAGACTCGTATTCCTCCTAAGCACATATATAACTGAATACCTAAGAGCCACAAAAGATGTACGTGACACAAGAAAGCTGACTTGGCTTCTTCAACTCCCAATCGGAGATCAACCAGATGCACATCAACATAGACAGCTTTCAGGTTTGACAGCTCCCGAGTCTATGATCATTCGTCGAACAACGAACTTTTAGAGCTAGTTAAAGCAAGTAAGGACCGAAGCCAGCTTGGGAAAAGCCAGCGAGCCCCTCCTAAAGTCCAGAGTCCAGAGTCCAGAGTCCACCTACCATTGAAGGTGGTCCATGCGGACATGGTCCGAAGAATCCCTGTTAGAACTGCGACGGTTGCGTTTGACAAATTGATACCCTAGTCTCAAAGAATAACCAACCAAATAGCTCCATGAATGATCTTCCTTGAAACGCGGCTCAGCATCTCCCTCCAATCAAACTTCCCCACATGAAGGAGACGCGTTGGAAAGATTAAAGAGGAGAGAAGGAATCTTTGCGAACGAAGGCTCACGTCACGTCGTGGAGGAGAAATAATAAGTAAAGTAAGATAAATTAAAGAGAGAAAAAAAGATCGCTGGTATGGTCATGCGCGATTCGTGTCTCATCTTCTGGAAAAATCTTTTTGGAAAAAAAGAGGGATGTTTCCAACTCAACAGATCAAAAATGGGGCATGGAACATGGGACATCTGCATCTATTCGTGGCAAGGCTGTGTGCGACTTCACCTGAAGATGAGGCAATCGTGAGAAATCCATTCGTTGATCCTGCGCCACAATACTGTTTCGTACTCATAACAGGTGACTTTGTTATGTGCTGTATGTAGTGGAACATGCCCCAAGTTCTCAACGGCATCTTGGAACACATTCGATTGACGAATTTGTACAGTTCTCCGAATGGTAAAATCTGTATTGTATCGTTTCCGCACATTGCAGAGATACCCCAGATTTGGCACTATCGAATTTTTCCCTCTTCTAAAGATACTTGAGCCTTGACCTACCTACCAACGGGCGACCAAAAATTTCCTAATCTTCCTTTGCCGCGCGCGAGTGTAACAGCCTAGAGTAACATCCCCCTTAAGCTAAGGCCATAAGATATATGACGTTTCCACAGCTGGCATAACATTTGCCGTTATCGAGATAACCCCTATTCTATAGCTTAACCTTTTCCTCGGGTCATACATAAGGCCGAGGCCTTTAAACGGTTGAAGCTCATTTGCCGCCACTGAGCGTCAAGGTTGGCTCTTTTAGCCTATCAGGAGTTGCATAAGTGAAGTAAATCATCAGAAACAAACGATCTATTGGACTTTCAAACATTACTTGACCGAATTGGTAATCCCGGAAAAGGAGAGAAGGGCAGGATGAAAATCCTCTAGATTGACTACAGAAGTTCTAGAAAACTGCGAAAACTTTACGGAAAGTAGTAAGGGAAAATAGATAGGGGATTGGATTTCACGCAAAGACCCAAGTGACAGGATAGTGGCCTCAGGCATGAAGCAAAACGCATCAAATCTCTTATCTACACGTGATCATTGATAAAATTTATCAAAATTATCAATCTTACAGTTCTTCACCCAGTTAAACATTCCTTTGCGCCCATCTATTTTACGATAACACTCCCTCAACAAATTGATCATGGCACCACGAAAGAAGGAAGTAGAGGCATCTGCACCAGCGCCCGTAGAAGATGTATCAATGGAGGAAGTGCCAGCAGAAACTGAAGGCGAAACCCTCATGCGCGAAGATCCGCACAACCCCGCTGCGATGATGTTCCAGGAACAGAGACTTCGTATTGTAAGAACACACAAAAATCTCAAGGGGGATTGCGGCAGTATAGATAAGATTATGTGCTGACTTCGTGGGATTCAGCTTCCTGGATCGAGTGACAAGGCTGCATCTTTTGAGTTTAAGAAAGAAGACCACACGTTAGGGAATGCGTTGAGATATATCATCATGAAGAAGTATGCCAGATTCCTGATAACCTACAAATTTATCGGCTCAATTATACTAATCCTTCCCTTTCCAGTCCTGATGTTGAGTTCTGCGGTTATTCGATACCACATCCTTCGGAAGAGTTGATGAACATTCGAATCCAAACATATGGTCAGTATTGCCCATTCTAGATTGTTTAGGGACAACTGGCTAATAATGCAAATAGATAATTCAGCTGAAGATGCTTTAAGAAAGGGCTTAGATGATTTGATAGATCTTTGTGATGTGGTTGCCGATAAATTCACAGCAGCACGGGAGCAGCATGCCTCTCAGATGGAGTCGTAAACAACGTAATGTATTGGGGCCAACAACTTAAATATCACGGCAATGGCAAGGCGTATAAAAGGGAAGGATCTCATGGAGTTCAATTGAGGTTCATTGGGATATGTACAAAGCGACAAAATAAAGATGCCAGCTTCTAATTGCGTCCCTTTGATTATGGTCAGAAATGAATCGAAGACGAGAGCAATATTGTAGACATACCTCTAAGAAACCTGTCATGAAGTTCTGTGGTAATCTTGCAGTTGGGTCTTCTTCTGCTCTGAAGTACTTCAAGATGTGAGGAAGTTGCTTCCAATAGTTCAAAGTCTCCTATAAAGCACGAAGTTAGTGGATAGACTTCATGTGTAACCCATCGCATTCCACGCCCCCTAATTGTGTTCCATATCGCTGCTGATGCCAAATATCCTTTCTCGCATGCCGGGCCCCCCTCTATAGCATACACTGCTCCGTACAGCCCCTCTTTTATCTTGTCTCTTTGTAACCCAAAGACACAATTTCCCAACCTGTTTAACGTACCTGGAATTCTGCATGGCTCTCATACAATAGCTTATCCACCGTTCCAATATGGTTCACATATCTGTGCCTTTCAAACTCCGACCGCATCTTCGTCCTCAATTGCGAAACTGGCATGCCGAGAGAGTACATTGTTTGGATTTCTGGAGCCTACATCAACACCCATCAGTTTCCATGCTCCCTACACATCCGCCGTTCTCTCCAGTTCTTCCCACAGATACAGAACAAACATACAGCACGGATCCATTCTCTATAGCTCTTCAACACTCTTGATTTCGCATCAGTCCAGTTAACGGCTACCGCATTAATTAGCTTTTCTTCTATGTCAAATACAGAGCACTATGGCCCCATAGGGCACAAGAAGGTTAACTTACACTGGCGCGTCCGCTGCGCAAGATAAGTAGGATTAATAACCATTGTCGCTGATTCGTTGTGATCAAACCTCCATTCAGTCCCCAGAAGTTGAGGTTCCTTGATAGAAGCGACCGTTCAAAATATGTCACGTGGACGCGGTAAACCTTAATTTTGAGCTCGAGGCTGACGAATTAATTTTTGAATGAGAGCTTTCTTGCTTGCTTCACCCCGCTACGAATCATATAATCTCATTGACACTCACACAACTGCGACCTCACTTTCTATACCTGGATACACCACAACGCTTTATGAGAATTCACCACGATTGTTGTCAATCTCATAACTACCATAATTACAACATAAACACCGCAACCATGCCTGCCATCCGCCACTCCTCCAAGCGCAAAGCTCCCCCAAATGGCTACAGCGATATTGAAGATTCTCTCCTCGTGTACAGCAACAAAATGAAAGATGCTATTGCAGCCCCACCATCCACCGGTCCCCGTCATCAAGCCACTTGGGAAATCACACAAATAAATCATCAGCGAAGTAGATACGTTTGGGATATGTACTGTGAAGAGAAGATCAGCAAGGAATTATATGATTGGTGTGTAAAGAACGGTCAATGTGATGCGACGCTCGTGGCAAAATGGAAGAAGGAGGGCTACGAGAAGGTACGTTTTACTCTTGGTGAAGGGTATGAATGATGCATGTTTGTGTGATTTACTAATGGGTAATTGAATACAGTTATGCTGTCTTAAATGCGTCCAAACGAAAGAGACAAACTTTAACTCTACCTGTATATGCCGGGTCCCGAAGGCAGATCTGAAGGAGGACCAGGAGATTCAATGCGTTAGTTGCGGATGCAGAGGCTGTGCTTCGAGTGATTAGGCGGGCGGCCTTCTTACAGCTTGTTTGTGGATGTACTCATTACATTTGCTTTTTGGGGTGGAATGCAGAAATTCAAGAGCAGTGCTGGCTTCATTCAAGGAAGTGTGCGTGCTATTTAGGTAATGATGGCCAGAGAGCCAACACCTTTCTAGAATCGTTGTGGGAAGATTTCAGGAGATACCATATATGAGATGACAGAGGAGGAGTACAACAATTTGGCGAGCATCATTTGCTTTGTATAATTTGATGATACCAGTATTTGGCATTTGGCGTTCAGGGCATTTGGATTGGTTAGTAGGGAGAGGGAACATGCAGAGTGATATTGGTCAGTGACTAGGAGTATTGAACGCAAATTTTCAGAGATGGGCAGTATGGGAAGGAAATGCAACTATGTTACCGCATTCATTCCCTGAATGTATCATCAAGGACGAGGAGGGGATTCTGAAGGGGTCCCGGAGCTCAGTACTACATTTTTTGCAGTCTCCTGGCAAGAAAGTAGCCGAAAAGGGCTCAGGACGCGTTTTCGCAGAGCTAAGTTGCTGGTCTTTTGCCCAATAAAAATGGAAATGGAATCTAGGGTTTACGACTGGCATCTGAACAATCCGCGTTTCTGGGTAGATTTGCATGTGTTGCATCTGTTTTGAGAAAGCAATAGTCTCAATAGTAATAAAGAAGGAGAAATCAGTATCTGAATTGCCAAACCGAATTGAGGATTTGGAAAAATTCACAAGGTATGGGCAGTGAGATTTCAAATGTACTAGTAGACGCAGCAAGATAGTACCTGCTTGGCTCTGAAAACGTTTAGTTGACCATGATCCTTGAGGTAAAGTCACACGATAACAATTTCCAGATTAGCTAGAAACAAGTGCACTTCTCCCCCTATTCTAGCCCCCGATTCGCTTCGGGTAAAATTAGGCATAGGCGCGGACTGGCAGGATGGACGTAGTGAGAAATTGATCAGGAGGCAGAGGCGGCGATGCTGGGTTTGAACTGTTGAAATATGCGCAGTATATATAGTAGAATATTCGATAAAAAGAAAGCAGACACGTCTGACAATATCTACAGGAACCTTATAAATCCAATCCTCATAGCTTCTGAAGTAGCTATAATAAAAAATTATCTTGTATTGCAAAATTATGGTATTCGAGAATCGTATCAATCCATCTGACAACTCACTACCAAAATACGTTAAACGCCTGCTAGATCAATAACTTCACTTGGCCATCTATATCGTGATATTTTCCCTTCCTCGATATTTTCCCTTAGTTACCACATAGCCCCGTGCACTACTTCTCAGACGTAGCCCCTTCCCTCTCACTGACATCTCTTCCCAAATTCCTCGTGTTCTCCACCGCCTTAGATACCAAATCGGAGAAAGCCTGATGGCCTTCTGTAAGTTTCTCATGAAGAGAACGTTCATCTTTACTTTCCTGGGCGCGATCTACCAGGCCCTTCCATCCTTCTTGAATTTTACCCTTCATCTCCGTATGATTTGGGAGATTTTTCATGTAATGATCAGCTTTATATTCCTTTTTATGATCTACCCTTCGCGTCAGATAGACAGTGGCGGCGTGCCCTTGGACAGCACGAATTCGATCGACCTCTTGTTGGTAGGCAGTATCATAAATATTGAAGTCGGCAGCTGTAGGGGATTCAGCTATCAATTCATGTACGGGTTCATTAAGAGGATCGCCGTCTTCGCCAACTCCGGCACCAATTCCTAGGTACAAAGGCTGCTCGTCCAAAGGATCGTGAGCGTGCCCCTTGTCACCAGATTGTTGTTCCCGAAACTCTGGGCGTTTTTCTATCGAATTAGATGAATCGGTCTTCGCGATACTACGTGATTGGACTTTCTTAACTATAGGCTCCTCATCCACTACAATTGTACTAGAAGAATCCATTCGGCTCGCCATAGTTCTAGGACCATCAGCCGATGGATATGTTCCATCATGGTATACACCTTCAGCGGCAAGTGCTGCTTCAACTAGACGTCTATCCTCGAGATCCGAGCTTTTGGACCTTTGAAGCGCGGATTTTTTTTGCTCGGTCATCCCCATAGATGGGTGTAGAACACGAATACCCTTCCCTAATGTCTCAGAGATAGCGGTGGGTCTCCTCTGCTCCATTTTAGACTTAAATTTTTTCACAGCCTTCATGACTGCGAGAAGACCCCTCATTTTAGCAGTTATTGCATGATTGACCTCGATTTCACTCGGCGGCTCAACTAGATTTGCGATGTTTTCTTCCTTTGGGAGTAATGGGTCGGTTCCATTATTAGTCACCCAGGGATGTTCCTACTGAACGTCAGAAGTATTCGGTAAAACGTATAGGGAAAGCATACGCGAATCTCATCCATAGTAATTCTTTTTTTGGGATCTTTTTCTAGAATTCTTCTCATTAAATCGACAAATTGAGGGTCGGTACTCGGCTCATAGTCAACCTCATCATTCTTGATTGCCTCATACAATTCAAGTACTCCGGTCCGTTCGAAAGGTATGTGACCGAAGCGCAGACAATACAATGAGATTCCCATGGACCATATGTCAGCTGCCCTTCCGGAAACATCGCCATGCTTCGTTACGCACAATTCTGGAGGCAGAAATGCTGGAGACCCCGTAGATTTGGCTGTCATCATATCTGAAGCCTTTTCGAACATCTCAGAAACTCCAAAATCCACAACTTTCAACACATCATCTTCGGTCAAAAGTAGATTATCCGGCTTGATGTCTCGGTGCACAACGCCTTGAGCATGAACTTCATGATGTGAGCCATTATGTCAATACAGAAGATTACCGTAAGTACTTACGATATTCAATGCCAAGTATTAGATCTCTAAACCAGCATCTGCAACTTTCAACGTCATATGGATCTGCTTTCTCTCCAAGCCCAACCTTCATGACAACGCCTTTCTTACACATTTCCAAAACCATATAAAGAGAATCTTCCTCAGGATCATCCAAAACTTCTATCAAACTAACGAGATTGGGATGGTTCAATTTTTTCATGATAGCGATCTCCTCTTTAATCAGATACAAAGGATTTCCCCGTTGCTCATTGATATGGATGTCGGATGCCGAATGGCGATGAAGAGAGGAATTGAAACCGCTACCTGCTGCGAGATGTCCGGGTCGTCTGACATAATGTGGCCTTCGAAGGATATTCGATTGCGCTCTTTTCCGTAACCTTGATTTGGAAAACTCTTTGACTGCCTATGTACCCAATATTAAACCAATGATCAATGGCTTAGGACAGAAGCCCTTACAAATTCTGTTCCGTACTGATCCACCGCTAGATGAACAGCCCCAAAAGAGCCCCTGCCAATTTCATCTTTGATGATATATTGATTAATGTGATGTTCGGCTCTCCCATCTTCTTCATTATTCATGTATTCGGATCTTGCATCAAGCGTTTCCTTTTGCAATCAGTATATTTCTAAAAGCGAATATCCAGATTGTGAGACTTGGGACCAACCTTTACTTGCCGGTGTGCAGAGGCACTGCGACGGTGATGTCGAAGAGGACTTTGATATGCGGGGGTGGAACTTGAAGATCCATTAGCGGGAGATATAGATAAGGAGGGGTCATTTGGAGGCGGGCGATTTACAGGTATTGTACCAAAGGTGGGCGACCATCAACCAATTCGCCGGGTATATCGAGAGAAATGCCTGTGAGGAAGGTAAGTTGGTTTACGTTATAAAGAGTATTGGTACTTGTGGTCGCGACGTTGAAAACCTTCACTTACCATGAGAAGGGAGAATGCCCGCATCAGCCTCTTTCTGGGTAATATCACCCGGATGACCTGGTTTTTCACAATCGCCAGCGAATGAAGACATTTTTTGTAGAAGTTAAATATCTCCCTTCATATCCCAAAGGCCAGCTATGTTGAAGGTCGAGCAAAGCAAAAGAAAAGACAAAGAGAGAGGTATTTGGGTGGAAGGGGGGAAGAAAGGTAAGATTGAACAGTGAGGCTACCAAAAATTACTCTGACGAATGAGGAGCTTTGGTCAAGGGGTCGGCCGATCTCTGGGATTAGAGGCATTAGGCTTGCTTAGCTTGATAAAAGCTTAATTTGATAGCGTGCGGTTAGCCTGTACTATCATCTTAATTTCGAACCTGGTACCAAATTAAAGCCTATTATTCAACGTTGAACCACCCTTACCGTACCTACATAATACATATTACATACAGAGTACATATCGACGAAGCCTTGTCAATAATAATAATAAGTTACGAGGCCGAAAGTGTCCCAAGAGAATATCGACATTCAGAAATACTTCAGACTACAACTATATTCTCAACATGGTTGTTTATTCCTTTTACATATTCGATAGGCATAGTAAGTCAATACACGTCTTGGAATTTGCGATTGACACTAAATCATATCCTTCAGCCGAATGCATCTATTCCAAACTCTGGCACCGCAATAATGACCGACCCCTCTCCACCACCGGCGCAACTGCGCGACCCATTTCCGGCTCCAGTAACTCCAGCGCCGTACCTCCTCTCAATGTTCCAGAACTTGCCGTGCCGAAGAGTCGCCCCGGGAAGTTGAGCGCGCAAGACGATGCGAAATTGATATTTGGAACTATATTCTCGTTACGGAATATGGTGAGAAAGTTAGGAGGACCGGATGATAGCTTCATATCGTTTCGAACGGGACAGTATAAGTTACATTACTATGAGACGCCAACGAATATCAAGTTCGTGATGCTTACCGACACACAAACCCCAACTATGAGGCAGGTGCTACACCAGATATATGTCAATCTTTATGTGGAATTTGGTATGGTCCCCCCCTCCCCATTATCTTTCACATGATGTGCTGATACTTCGCAGTTGTCAAGAACCCGCTATCTCCCGTCGAGCACCCTGGAGGCGAAGGAGTTGCAAACGAGCTCTTCGAGCTGGCCCTTGACCAATTCGTTAAGGGCGTTCTTTGATGTCTAATACGCGTTACGAACATGATGATTTACACGCAGTGGATATTAATGTCGCACAGCTTTAATTTTTGGATGTAATACAACAGAAAATAGTTGCAGGTCGTGGCGTTTGGGGCTTATTGGAGTCGAGGTTAAAGGGGGCATATCAGTAGAATGGGTCGTTGAAAAGGGAGCCGATCTGAGAAATTGAGGAAGTCAAAACGCCTGAACATTCAGTTCTAGGTTGGCTAGATAACATCATTGAAGCCGACTGGGTTTAGATTTGACAATCAAATAGTTTCCACGATATGTCTCATTTCACTCTTCATTGTCTAGGGTGGATTCGACAAATCAAACGACCTCCTATTCTTACGTATCTCGTATCCTGGACTTTGAAGATCAAATCATAACATGAACATCAAAGTGGCCAAGCCGGATAGAACAGATGATACAGCCCTCAAAGGCCTCAAGGATGATACAATTATGCCATTATTTTGGTATCTTTTACATACCTCGTTTCTTCTTTCGCCTCAATAAATTTCCCGCAACCTTGCCCAATAATGATTCCCATATTCCAAAAATTCCCTCGACTTTGTATAAACCTCGCCCAGATCCAATCTACAAAGATGTTACTTTGTCCGCGGGGTCTACCGCTTTTCCCCACGCACTTTCAAATCTGCTAGCAGTTCCCACGTCAATAAGACTATCTTGGCCATTCGAAGCCACAGAGGCCATTTCAGATTCGCCCAAGTCATTCCTTGGCACTAACATGGCACTCCCAAAGTCATCAATCGGATTAATCTCATTCTCGTGACTAGAGTAAACCACGGCGGCAAAAGCCTCTAATTCCCTAACCTGCTCCATAGCTTGAAGGTATTCATTGGGCACACCATTTCCAATGGAGTGAGCCTGTCTGGTAAGCACAGCTAAAATTAATGGAAGCTTTACCGCAGTTGGCTCAACGATTTCAGTAACACGAGTATCTTCAGGTTGAGACGGAATCTTGAAGCTTTGTTGAGCGATCTTTTGTTCAACAAGAGTTGAGAATCCGGCATCAAGAAGCATAGTCAGAACGTGGGAAAATGGTGGAGAGTCAATAAGATCCGAGGTTTCATCAAGGAGTCGTCTTAATGGTGACACGGGTGATGATGAAGGTGTCTCAGGCTCCATAGCTTTCATGCCAGATTCTTTGATGACAAAATCCTCTTGGTCTCGAGGGGGTAAAAGATATTGTAACCAGCGAGTAGCCTGTCTGTCTTCGGGGGTGGCACCTTCTACCTTTTTACGGACCTCAAGCGTCAATTCAGAAAACTTAGCCATGGTGAGCTCTTCTCTGATAGAAGTATCCTTGAACACTTCTTTTACCGCATCTTCAACCTTGAACATAACATCTCTCCATCCTCTATGAAGTAGCCACCAGCTGAATGTCAGATATCGTCTATTCGTCTCGAAGTCGTTTCCATAAGCTTGATCTGAATTGTCATCATCGTTATTTTCCAAGCTTATTGTTGACTGCTCCACGCCACCAGTAGCGAGTGAGACTACACTCGAAAGATAACTGCGACGTCCTAGGAGATTAAGTTGAATCCGTGTGAGTAGTGTGAGAAGAGAGAGTGTATATATCAAAGTGAATGATCGCGTGATAGCTAGCAGATATTAGCAACGAATGTAAAATCGAACTTCAATTATCTTACAGCTAATCTTAAGATCATTCCATAATTGCATCTTCGACCTTTTGATCTTTTGTGCTTGCTGTTCTCCTTGTTGTCCTCCATCTTGTGCTCCATCAACACCCAACTCTAATCCTGAAGGTATTCCGAGTTGACTTATATGCATTCCACTATCACTAAAACTCACCATGCTTCTGCCATCGTCATCGGTAATACTAGGAGGACTGGAACCCCAATCAGATCGACGATCAGCGCCATTTCGTGCCTGCTTCGCAGCTTTTTGTCGTTGCAACTCGTCGGTGATTCTCTCCGTTTTCAATTCTGCAAGAATGTTCTCGGTGGCGGTGGGCAGGAGGGCCAAGACGGTGTAAGTACAATCCTCTTGATTTTGTTCAAACCGACGTCGAAGACTAAGAATAAGTGGATAAGCATAAGTCACTATCTCGGTGGGTATCAAACTTTACTTCTCTCGAGCTATACGATCACTACTCATACGTTTTCGAGCATCATGAATCTTTCCTAGCACGTACTGAGTAGCTACATAGCCTACACCAATCACTCCGAAACCAATCGCAAGGGGAGTTCTATTCCTCCTTGCCCATTTGCGAAGGGAATTCATGATTTTGTTCTTTCAAAGAAAAAGAATGAGACTACAATCACATAACGTTGAAGAATGATTGTTTAATAGCTTGGAAATGTGAAGGAAACGAAATAATATTGAATGTTGAAATGATAAGTTTTTAATTATAAGGTTTCCCTCAAGAACCTTGAAATGTGAGGAAAGCTCCCTTTGTTGTCTCTGAAGGCCGAGGATGGTAATTTGCCAGCCGTGCCAGCCACAACTCGGCTGGCAAGACCCATTGATATACATGTACCGATAAGCATTCGAGTTTACTCCGTACACTATTGCATCTATTGCATAACTCCTTACCCCTCCATGTAAATGCACAAAGGCCAAAACGACCAAAACGACCAAAGCTCAAAGTGCAAAGCTTTTATAAGGTGCACGATCGAACGCTGGAAACAACAAACACAAACACAAATGAGAAGATTGAATAGTGGCAATGGACCAGCGCAGACCGCCAGAATATATTATTGAGGTGTTTGCTGACCCTACCTCAGTGAAAGAGGTCATTAGAGGCAAGTAGAAACGGTGTTTTCTTACCTTCATCAACATGACTTGTCACTATTATGCGCCTGCTAACTCAACTCCTATACAGGCATTCTACATACCATTTTCTTCCAACGTTTCTTCCCTTCTATCAGACCAAAGTCTCGCGATGTCCTGGACATGACTCTGCCATACATTGAGAATGTTGAAATTGAAACACTTATCGATCAAAGGACCGCTGCCCTGGTGCGGCAACTAGACACCACTTCGGAAATTGGCGCGAGAAATACTGGTGTTAGAGGACAAATGGCTGTTCAATTTTTCGAGAAGAAACGAAGGAAGGCTTGGTTTACGAAAGGCGTATGTTGGTTCTGGAATCCAATTCCGATCATCCGGGTCGCATTCTTTCTATTCAAAATATCCCCTTGCTAATTTGGACAATACAGGAGGAAGAGGTATGTTGGGAACAGTGGACTTTGGATGTCACATTAGCTACTCCGCGAACAGAAAGTGGTAAGAATATACGAATGCTCTATTATATTATATGATTACGGCTGATTAACACCGCGCTCTACAGAACGAGCAAAGGTCAGAAATGCGATGGAAGCTATGTTGCTGAAAGCGGCAATGAAGATCGTAACAACAGTCAATATGGAGAAAGATCACATACCACCTATTACCACGAGCGAGGCAAATCCATTTCCTTATCAGATCACTATAAACCCAAGAGCAGATAGTTGGGGGGCTCGGATGAGTTTGTTTTAACGCCACAGGGTAATATAGGCATTGTAAATATTGACGTCGGCGTTTTGGAGCTGGATAGAGGATATTTTGGATACAGATACCCAATATGAATTGATTTTTATTCAACGAGATCCTATGTATATTCTTAACATACAGTAAGGGGCGTGAGGCACATGATGACGTATTCTACCCACTCTTTCCATACATTTATCTCCAGATAATCAAATGCTATATGTATATTTGCGGATCCAGATATTCAACACCCTTTATAAAACAACTTCATTGAAATAGTTGTCATTGCTATCATGACTATTCATGGATACCTAGGTGGTCTTCAATGCCCGCATATTGAAGGGATACTCAGCCATATGTTGTAAGTCAACGTGTAAGTCACGAGTACAATCACATAAAACAGGTGCTCGTGCCAATATAGACTTTCTTGGTTGTCATAGTGTTCAAAGCTTTATAGAGATACTCAATCATATGTTGCAATCAATATGAAAGTCACAAGTTAAATCATAAGTAAGTGCTCGTGCAGCTATAGACTTTCTTAATTCTCATAACATCATAAAATCGTAAATCCATATCTCATCAGGCTTTGCTGAATCCCCTTCCCCTTCCCCTTCCCCGTCCCCTTCCGAATCTAACACTACTCGGAACAAATCTCAGTGATGACATGGCTGTTTCTAAACCTTTCATCTGATCGTCTTCTGGCTCAAGAATTGATGCAGCCGTCTCAGATACTTCCATGGCATCATCTTCTATCTGCGCTGGGGGGACGCTGGATCCACTGGTAAATTCTTGGTTGATGTTTTGATCGTTCAAAGTTGGCTCAGTAGTAGCGGCACGTTGTCCAACTTCTTCGACTTTCGTTTTTGCTGCCGAGCTGTATCTTCGATGTCCATGGCGTCCTGATCTAAGCATGGAGCTTTTATGATCAATACCATCATTCACAACGAAGAAGTCATACTGCTGAGGGAACATGTGTTTATCAATGAGATGCATACGTCTCTTCTGAGGAGTTGAGCATTTCCTATCACAGTCTTCAACAAAACAAGAATACTATTCGAGCATCAGTAGCTACAGACTATACACGCTTAGGGATAATCTTACAATCTTTTCTCCTCGGTCCTTCCTAACACTGACCAATGCATCATGATTTTCCTCAATATGAAGATTGAGGAAATGTTCCGAAGGAAGGTTCTTACGGCATTCCAAACATCTGTTCATGTGAGACTTTTTATAGTGTACTTCATAGTCATCGAATGAAGGGAACGATATTGTTCGCTGGTGACCTGGCAAAGAGCAACGCATTACTGTAGGAGCTTCACCGGTCTCTTCACCAAGATGAACAAATTTGGAGGCAGCTTGAGGTGTAGAATTTGAGGTGGCTTTGGGTTCCTGTATGTCGGATGGATTGGGAGTCTCTATGATCTCTGAATCTGGAGAAGAAGGATCATCAAACTCTTCATCTCGTAAACGTTTTGTCATTGTGTAACAAGATGAAAGAAAATGAGAAGAGTGTTATAAGATGCGGGGTAATTACTCTTATGATTGAAGAGTAGTTATTCCTCTGCTTCGGATTCTCTTCTTTACCTTCGATGATTGATATATCCTCACCCACCTACGGTTAAGATATCGAAGCTAATCGATGAGAATACGTGAGTTTAGAGAGTTGAAGATTGACACCTGGGAGTTGGAAAAAGAAGGCTGCTATTTTCTGAGTGAGATCTGGTGTAACACTGTCCCAATATTATAACTGAGTATTATTGCTTTTTTGTTTTTTGTGATGACAGATTGCTTGTGTTGTGATATGCCATGTGTGAACCTCTGACATACTGGAAGATAGGTACGTCGTAGTATTTATTGTATGGCTCGTATGGTTAAAAGTTGCGAGGTTGTCTTGGCGTAAATATAAGGCGGTGTATAAAATGTAATACGGCAGAAAAATAAAGGGAAATCGTACTAAAATTACCAGTAGGAAACTGGAGCATCACTTCAATCATAACTCATCATCGATTTCTTCCCCTCATTCTCCTCATGTATTCTCATAAGCATAAGGCTCAGAAAGACCATAAAGTCTTTTTGTCATTACAATCTTGCTTAACTCCTTGAAACGATAATCGAATAGTGAATTATATTTCATCGAATTTGTATTCACCTGGATTTTTTTGCAGTTCCCCCCAAACTGCCATTTTGTGATCTTCCCTCACATTTATTTTCCCACCAGACTCCATGGCCAACTCCTACAACTATTATTCTGGTGTAGGAAGACAAAAATCAACCTAACAATAAGTCGACCTGGGGGTTCTGTATTATCTCCCGAGGAACTTTAGCTATGGATAAATCTTCAATTCAACAAAACTGGCTGTAAGTTCCTATTGTCGCAGTCGCAAATATTATGCCGCCGATTCATGCTAACTTTTGTCTTCTCAGCGTTGCACAAAAGATTGAAAAGGAGTTACAGTCGCAGCTGAATAAAGATTCCCCTACATTTGAAGATATTCAACATCTTCTCACACAGTCCGTTATTGTATTCTTGTCTTATCGCACTACTCTAATGATATCAGGTTGCGCATTGCTTGTGAAGCAGTCATCTTTGGCGACTTCGAATATGCTACTAAGCAGCGTGTACAACACCGTCTCTGGGACTCGCATAGTCTAATTAACTCCCGATATCGAAAACTCGTCGCTCATTACCGTTCCGCCGATCAGAGACGTCGTGCTGTGGAGCGCCGAAAGTTAGAGAAGCACTATGTCGATTTCCTTAAAGAGAGCCAGTTTTTCTACAAGGGATACATCCAGCGTGTTGCTTCTCACTTTGGTCCTCTTCCTGCATTGCAACGCATCGCAAACCGCCTTTCTTTAAGCCCACTGTCTGTGGACAAGCCTATCAAAGCTGGCAGAACCCTTGAACATTTGCTTAAGCTTTCCTGCCACTTCACCCTACTTCGTCTCGGAGACTTGAGTAGATATCGAAATGACTTAAGAACCAAAGAGCGCAGCTGGGACCCTGCCTTAGGATATTATTCTCTAGCTGAAGCTCTTTATCCCGATTCCGGCAATGCCCACAACCAGATGGCTGTCATTGCTCTCGCTGATGGCAGTCATCTCGATGCATTATACCATTTGCTACGTGCAGTTGCTGTCAAGGAACCCCATACATTGGCTCGTGGAAACTTGGCTATTGAGTACAAAAAAATATCTACTAGTTGGGAGAAGGAAAGACAGAGTAGACGTCGCCCAGCCCCCGTTGAGTCTGCTCTTGTCATCTGGTTCGTGAGACTACATGCAAGATTTTACAAGGGTGTGGAATTTTCTACGCAAGGAGAATTAGAGAATGAAGTTTTGGGTCAATTGGTCTCAGCCTTGAAAGATCACTCTTTTGAGGAAACTCTAAACAAGCTGGTGCTAATCAACATGGCTGCAAATTATCTGGCAACCCAGAGGCTTACAGGTAAGTTGATCCTTCTTATCTTGATCTTAGTTTTTCACGTAGAGATTCTGATATGATATGTAGAAGCAGAGGGTGGTGTAACCGATGACCTCAAAAAGTCTTTTTATTTCCTTCTTGGCTTCAATCTTCAAGTATTCTGCGTCCTTCTACAAGCACTTATCTCAGAGCTTGCCGATGCAGCTGAAGCAGAAAATCTGGAGTCTTTGACTGCCACAGATTCATCTGGCGATTCCTTCGAAAAGCTCAGCCCAGTCGCAATTAGAGTCCTCCCTACTATTCGACAATACTTCGCCTGGATCATCTCTCA